AAAGCATGGATCTTAGAGGGTGATTTCAATGCAGTATTAAGCTAGGATGAAAAAAAGGGAGGAGCTCCGAGGGGACCTGGGGCTTACAAATCCTTCGCAGACTTTGTATTTGACTCCAAACTAAAGACGTTAAGTTCATTGGGCCTAAATAAACATGGGGAAGGGGTAACTTGTACCAACGGCTAGATTAGTGTCTAGCTAATGAATGATGGATTCAGAAATTCTCAGACTCGATAGTAGATCACCTTGAACTAATTGGATTGGATCACCATATGATACTACATCATGCAATTATGCCATAACATAAATCAACAAATTGACCATTTAGATTCATTGTCGCATGATTGAACACCCATAACCAAGAAAAAAGACGTTTTTACAAATGTGGAAGCTTTTAAAAGAAAAGTCTAAACCCAGAACCAAGAAGTGTTTAGCCACATAGGTAACAAAAGAAACCTATCATGGCAAAACTGAGGGGTATTGAAAGAGTTTGATCAAAACACACTCAGACTTCCTAGTGGAGCTCGAGAAAAACCTTAAAGCAGAGCTCGACATTTTGTTAGAACATGAAGAGATCCTATGGTTCTAAAAAGCAAGAAGTAAACGGGTGATAAAAACACTAAATTCTTCCATGCGTCCACCATAAGCCGAAGAAGGAGAAACAAAATGATGGCGCTCAAAACAACGGATGGTACATGGTGTTCACACCAGAAGAATCTAAAGGAAATGGCGGTTAATTTCTATCAAAGACTTTGTACTAGCTCGTGCATAAAAGGTTATGCATATGAAGTCAAGGGTGAGTTTCCACCGACTGGATCGAATGAAAAGGAGAAGCTGATGTCACCCGTAAAGGATGAAGAAATCAAAGGATATTCTTTGAGATGAACCTGTAGAAAGTGCCAGGGGTCAATGGCATACATGCACTATTTTATCAACGAAATTAGAAACTAGTGGGCGAAACAATATGTCAATTCGTGAAGAAAATATTCCATAGGGCACAGATTGAAGAAAGCCTAAATCGCACCTTGTTATTATTGTTACCGAAAACAAAAGCACTAGAGCAATTAAGTTTCATCTGATAAGCTTATGCTCAGTCCTATACAAAGCCATCATGAAAATAATTGTCAATCGATGGATCTCACGCACTCAAGCCAACTTCGTTACAGGGCGATCCATAACATACAATTTTATCATTACCTAGGAAGTGATTCATTTAATGCGTAGAAAACAAGGAAAAAAGGTTGGATGTCGATAAAAATTGATCTCGAAAAAGTCTACGACAGATTAGAATGGTCCTTCATCGATGATACTTTGCAAGACATTGAACTACCATTGGAAACGAGGAGAATGATCATGCAATGTGTCTCATCTGTCTCTACACGAATCTTATGGAACGGGTCGATAACAGAAGCTTTCAAACCAACCAGGGGAATTAGACAAGGCGTCCCAATATCACCTTACTTATTTTTCATGTGCATAGCGAGACTAGCTCAAGCAATTATAAAGGAGGTGAGAAACAGTCAGAGGAAACCTTTTAAAATCTTAAAAGAGGGACCAGAAATCTCGCATCTTTTCTGCAGACGATATGATTTTTTTTTTTGGCAGAAGCATCAATTAACCAGTTAGAGATCACCCGCGCAGTACTGAAAATTTTTATTCAGCCTCAGGTCAGAAAGTAAGCATAGAGAAAACTAATATATTCTTCTCAAAATAAGTGTCAGGAGAGACGAGAGAAAGAATTAGTGAAGTTTTTGGTTTCAAAGAGGTATAAGATGTGGGAAAATACCTGGGAGTCCCGATCATTCATGGAAGGGTAACTAGGATTTTTATAAATATCTGATACAAAAGGTACAAGACAAATTATTCATATGGAACACGAAGAACCTATCTTTGGCCGGACGGATTATATTGGCAAAAGTTGTCTTAGCAGCAATTCCAACTTACACTATGCAATAAACAGTGTTACCGAAGGGCATCTGTTTAGAAATCGAACAACTAATTAGGAGGTTTATATGGAGTCACACCACGAAAAAAGGTGGAATCAACTTAGTCAACTGGAATACGGTCTGCAAACCACTCCCGAAAGGAGGCTTGGGAATGAAGGAAATAGCGCACCAAAATGAAGCATTTCTCATGAAAATCACATTCCAGCTAATATGGAAGAAAGATCATCTATGGGTACGTTTACTGCGAGTAAAGTACAAGTGGAAGGATGAGATACCAGAGAACCTAAGAAAAACAACGGCTCGAATTTATACAAAAGACTGTTTAAAATTTAGGAGGTTAGAAATAGATTGGTCTGAAATGTAGGGAATAGAAGAACAACAAAGTTCTGGACATATTTATGGCTTAGTGGTACAGGGCCGCTGATTAACTATGTCACAGCTCGTAGAGCACAAAACATGGATTATTCAATCTCAGTCGTAGCTGTGGTGGATAAAGACGGTAACACACCTACCACACTCGATACTAATAAGGATAATGGTTGTAAAACCTCCGCTTTCAACATTCCAGGACGATGTAGTAGGATGGAAATGGAGTATCGATAGGAAATTTTTAGTGAAATTCGCATATGAAGTTCGAACCAAGCAGATAAAGGGAGAAACGGAGAAATTTTAGAAGATAATTGCAGAATATAAAGGTACACAATGAGTCAAAGCCTTTCTATGGCTCGTAGCACAGGGCACAATTTTAACAAATGGGGAAAGAGTACGGCGACATATGGCCGATGATGCCAGCTGCTTGAGTTGTGGCCACGAATGAGAGGATGCAGACCATGTGTTGAGAAGATGCCCAGCTACTAACATAATCTGGGCAGTGCTTATAAAGAATGAAAAGTTGATGGAATTTTACATGATGAACTTGAAGGAATGATTGTATGTTAACTTGGTTAAAACATCATACTTCGCTATAAATGTAGAGAATTGGGAGTTATTTTTGCGGTATCTATCAGATAGAGCAAAATCGCAACTGATAATTTGAGAAAATAAAGTTGAAGATAAAAAAGACACAAATTTTACATGAAAAACCTCTAAATAATATAGGGTAAAAATCACGGACAAAAATAGAAGAATTTTATTATGAGAAAATAGGAAATACAACTTCTCTCGATCTATCAAGGAGAAAACAATAACAATTATCTCTTGATAAAAAAGAAAAAACAACTCTCAAGGTTTTAAAACTAAATAGGTTAGGATATTTATAGTTAAAGCTTAAAGATTAATTTTATAAATATCTTAAAATATAGGGACCAATTTAGTAATTATCCCTTTACCCAAAAATCAACAAAAACTGCACCGAAATTCGGTGTCCCTTCTTTGAAATTTCAATGCACCGAAAGTTTGCACCTCCACCGAAATTATTGTTCGACTTTTCAACAGTTATTATTTAGATCCATCACATGGAACTCATGGATACATAGGACTAGACAAATCTTTGAATCAAAACACATCGAGAGGGACACAATTTTAGAGCGTAGCCGAAGGATGGTTGCTGAAGCTTGCAGAGCTGAAACCGTAACAAAGGAAAATCGAATCAATGAAGGATGACCAACACGGGCTGAAGTGTGATGGAGTCCTCCACCATCAGGATGGCTGAAACTGAACGTAGATAAGGCAAGTGATACCTCAAGCGACACTACTTCATGCGGGGGTGATACGAGATAAGAAAGGCCAATGAAAATGGGGTTTTCCATAAGTCGGTAAGAGAATGTTCAATCTTAGAGGTTGGGTTATGGGGAGTGCTTGTAGGACTTAAAGGTGCTTGGCCTTGGGATCTTGGAGTGAGGAAAATAATGGTTGAGGTTGATAACATGGATATATGGCCTAAGCTACGAAGGAAAAACCTTATGGGTTTCGAGTTAACACTAGGACACCGCGTGAACGAGTTAGTGAATAAAGTTTGGGAGATCAAGAAGGAAACCGAGCACCAGATGCCATGCCTAAGCTAAGTCGAACAGGAGATGGACATAACCTCACTTTTTCAACGCCTCCGATGGGCCTAGATGAAATCCTGGCTGAAGAAGGATGTTGTCTAGGTAGTTTAGAGTAGAAGCTTTGATTTGTTATTTATTTACGAAAAAATTAATAATTATATCATAAAATTTTAGGATGGACAAGTACTTAATTGTATTGATTTTAAAACTACCAATAACTTAATAGGTAATTTGACGGGCAAAGTTGGGGGACCATTTCCCCTCCCATCTATACGTGGGTCCATCCCTGATTACATGTGCTATCTGAATGCTGAATGTTATGTAACGGCTGTCTCAAATGATGTGATCAAGACAAAGCATGACAATGGTTGTCTTACCTCAACTATAGATAAGCATGGTTCAAGCTTGCCAAACTAGGTTACAAAAGCTTTTACAATACTCACTCACAATAATTTGTTGTTATTTGTCATTAACGCACGGTTCTTGAAGATGTTGAAACTGAGTTCGTAAAGTTATCCGATTTGGATGAAGCTCTAGTAAACGATTCGTAATAATGTGTTAAAAAGAAGGTTTATTCAAGGTATTTATGTTCATAAAATAGACAATTAACATAAAAATATTCAAATTTTAGGGTGGACACTGATCCACCTTAGACTCCACTTGCATCCATCACTTCTTGTATTGCAGTGACAATTTGCAGTCACGGATGGATTGCTTGAAGCTGAGATTTTACCATTCAAGGGAATCACATATGATCATATCAAGGTGGCCACATTATCAAAGTGCAATTGAGAAAACGATGGTATGACCGAAATAATTTATTAAATCAATTCTTTATAAATATATTGATTAAAATAAGAGGAAGAAGAATGTTGAGTTATTAACTATATAATTTACCCATATGTTTTATTAAAATCAACCGAACTTGTGATTGACTAAACCTTTTTAATAGTGTTAAAAGAATTGAGACGGGTGAATAAAAATGAAGGGCATATTGGGAAGCCAAAAAGATTAGGCAAAAGCTCCTCTTTCTATTATTCCCTCTTCTGCTTATGCGCCCCGGATTTCAGAGATCTCTTTTTTCAAAGGTTCAAATTTCAGATCTAAATTAATCAATTCTGTTTATGTTCATTTTAATCTGTATAATTTGTTTCCTCTTTTTTTCCTTATTTCCATTCCCTGGCTTTCTCTTTGATGTTGAAGGTTTTTTTCATTATAATTTCAATTTGTTTATTGATTTATTTTCTTTATCCCGATTAGATTGTTTTTCTATTATTAGATTTATTGTGTGATAATAATTTGGAAATCTGATTCCACTTTCTTTTTCTTTTCTGAGATTGTTCGATTGATACTTCTTGGTAAATGATTTTTTAATATGAATTAATTATGATTTTCATATTTAGTAAAATAAAAAAAATTAATAATGGCTGGTTTTATAACTTTTGTTTAGTGATTCAATCTTTGATTTTTTTTTGGGTTTTAAATTTGGAGAATGTAACTAATTCATTTTTTGTTGGTTTGGTTTGAGAAATTTTGCTATAGTTGTTGCTGTTTAAAAGTAAAATCATTTAATTTTCAGTTCATCAAATAAAAGCTATCAGTAAGTCAACTGCAAAAAAGTAGGAAAACAAATATTTGTGCCACTTAATTTTTGCTTTTAAAGCAGAAATTAAGAAAATAATGTTAGATTTTAGATTTCGTGTTACTGTTCAGTTATTTTGTTTGTTTTATAATCATGAAACTGATTTAAATGTTGAAAAATGTTAAGAATGTTATATTTTTTCATCTGCACTTTGTTTAACTTGTAAATTGTTTTTATGGCTTCCCATTTTAATGATTGCTTATAAACGGGATTCTGAACATATGTTGGTGCAGCTTGAAGCTAATACTGCAGGATGGGTAAGGAAAAGTTTCACATTAACATTGTTGTAATTGGCCATGTCGACTCTGGAAAGTCTACCACCACAGGTCACTTGATCTACAAGCTTGGAGGTATTGACAAGCGTGTCATTGAAAGGTTCGAGAAGGAAGCTGCTGAGATGAACAAGAGATCATTCAAGTATGCTTGGGTTCTCGACAAGTTGAAGGCTGAACGTGAGCGTGGTATTACCATTGATATTGCCTTGTGGAAGTTTGAGACCACCAAATACTACTGCACTGTCATTGATGCCCCTGGACATCGTGACTTTATCAAGAACATGATTACTGGTACCTCCCAGGCTGACTGCGCTGTCCTTATCATCGACTCTACCACTGGAGGTTTCGAGGCTGGTATTTCCAAGGATGGACAGACCCGTGAGCATGCTCTGCTTGCTTTCACTCTTGGTGTGAAGCAAATGATTTGCTGCTGCAACAAGGTAAGTTATTGCATTTATTATTTTATGTTCTGTAGTTTCTAATTGGTTGCCTAGTAATTAGTAATTATTTTTATTTATGATGTATCTATTTGTTTCCTTGACAGATGGATGCCACGACCCCCAAATACTCAAAGGCTAGGTATGATGAAATTGTGAAGGAAGTGTCTTCCTACTTGAAGAAGGTCGGTTACAACCCTGAGAAGATTCCTTTTGTTCCGATCTCTGGTTTTGAGGGTGACAACATGATTGAGAGGTCCACCAACCTTGATTGGTACAAGGGTCCAACACTTCTAGAGGCTCTTGACCAGATCAATGAACCCAAGAGGCCCTCTGACAGACCACTCCGTTTGCCACTTCAGGATGTGTACAAGATTGGAGGTATTGGAACTGTTCCTGTGGGTCGTGTTGAAACTGGTATCCTCAAGCCTGGTATGGTTGTGACCTTTGGTCCTTCTGGATTGACCACTGAAGTTAAGTCTGTTGAGATGCACCATGAGTCCCTTGCGGAGGCTCTTCCAGGTGACAATGTTGGGTTCAATGTTAAGAATGTTGCCGTCAAGGATCTTAAGCGTGGATTCGTTGCTTCAAACTCCAAGGATGATCCTGCCAAGGAGGCTGCCAATTTCACTTCCCAAGTCATCATCATGAACCACCCGGGGCAGATAGGAAATGGATATGCACCTGTTCTTGATTGCCACACCTCGCACATTGCGGTGAAGTTCGCAGAGCTCTTGACTAAGATCGACAGGCGTTCTGGTAAGGAGCTTGAGAAGGAACCCAAGTTCTTGAAGAACGGTGATGCAGGATTCGTTAAGATGGTTCCAACCAAGCCCATGGTTGTCGAAACCTTCTCCCAGTATCCGCCACTCGGTCGTTTTGCAGTGAGGGACATGAGGCAGACTGTTGCTGTTGGTGTCATCAAGAGTGTGGAGAAGAAGGAACCAAGTGGTGCCAAGGTGACCAAGTCTGCTGCCAAGAAGGGTGGCAAATGAGCTGTTGGGCTGTGTCTGTCATCGGTCACTCAGTTACCTGTTTCGATAGTTGTAGTTATGAATCATTGCCATTGTCACGAGCATATTGTTTGCAGAACTGGGTTCTTGATAGGCGATGGTGAGTAATATTTTCGAGTTCTTAAATATTGTCTCCATTTTTAAGTCAGGTATTTTTTTTTCCTCCTAGAATGTTAATCCAACATTTCTATATAAATAGTTTTGTTTTTCCTCTTGTACTTTGCCTTGAATCTCTTTACTGTTTGCATTATTTATAGGGTAAAATACACATTTAATACCTAAACTATCATTTTTTTTGTTTTGGTACCTAAATTTTATTTAATATAATATTATAACTAAATTAGTTTAGGTTTCAATTTCTCTTCGTTAAAGACTTACATCTCTGATGATGTGGAATTTACATTACAAGACACATGGAATATTGAAAAGGAGAAATAATTCCATTATCTGTCCTTAATATGTTAAGGACGAGTATCAAATTTAAATTAAATATTAGACATGATTTTGTAAAAGAAATAAAGTTTAGGTTCTTAAATGGAATGAAAGTGATAGTTTAGTTATTAAATGTGTAGTTTGCCCTTAATTCTATTGTAATAATAAAAAGGGTAAACTACACATTTATTATCTAAATTTTTAATTTTTTCTATAATCATACCTAATGCTTTGTTTTTATTTTATTTTAGTATATTGTCATTATAAATTTTACGTTTTTAGTACCTAAACTATCATTTTGTTTTGTTTTACTACTTAAATTTTTATTAATAGGGTATTAAAATAAAACAAAAACTAAACTTAGATATGATATTGAAAAAATTAAAAATTTAAATATTAAAATAGATTAAAATTAATAATTTAAATATTAAACGCTAATAAAAAAGCTCCGATGTGGTAATCTGGGTGAATACTAAGGCGCCAGCTTGCAAGGCAGTGGTCTTACCATCTGAACAAAAGGTTAAACGGTGTTTGTGTCCCTCATAGAAATACGTAATTCAATTTAATTCTTTTAATATTTAATTTTTAGCTTTGGTCTCCTAACAATTTTTATCTTTGGTCTCCTCACAATTTTTATCTTTATCTAGGTTCCGAACAAAATATGTGGTTTTGCCCTTGAGTTCAGCATTTAGATATTGTACGAAACATGCACATCTATTTTTGAAAAACCCAACATATTCAAATAGTTATGGAGTCAACAATTGATTAAAAAACTTTTATTATCATTTTTTCTTCTCTAGATTATGAGTTTAATATACTATACTAAAATTCCTCTTTTCTTGTACAGGAATGGTTAAAAAATATTTACAGAAGATTAAATTATGTTTTTATAATCAAACAACTAAAAATAAAGTATACCACATATATAAATAATTTTGAATTGATTAAAAGTACAATTTAGGAATAAAAGGATATTTTGGTAAGAGTATTCAATGTAAAATAGTTAAGAGTTATCTTTGAAAATATACTACCTTATATTTATATCAGATTTAATAAAAAAATGAAAGTATATTTGAGTAATTTTATTAAAACCAAATAATTCGTGAAAAATAGTGAAATAGTAAATTGTTCGAAAAGCCAAACTCATTCTGTGATACTCATATTTGAAAATCTTAGCCAATTTTACAAAATAGATCTTCAGAGACTAAATCTCAAAATAATAAAAAAAAAATTCCATCTTTAAGCAAAACTCAATCAATCTAGAATTTACATAAAATTAAACTATATCCAATAACATATTCTTCTTTCATAGCGGTTCAAGCCTGATTTAATGAAAATTTATAACTCAAGAAACATTGAAAATCCATCTTAGTCATGCATCAATTTAGGTGTTAGTGTAACATTGAAAATCCTTTACTTAACATTGAACTAAAATTACAACTTAATATCATTTCAATATTTGAACTTTCTTTTTAAATGAAAATAGACGAATTACAGAAAACTAAGAATGAAGTGAACACCATGGGACAACAGACTTGCTCTTCATTTGATAAAAGCCCCCCTTTACAAACTAGGCATAGCAAAGTCTTGACGCGCGATAAATCACAATACTTCATCACAACACCCTAAATCGGACGATGATCCACTATCATTTATGTCGAGCGTTGAGCATAGGCACTTTTGGTGGAAAATCGGTGGTGCTTATCACATTTCCAGCCGAAGGGTGAAGTAAATTACGGAATAATTCCCACTTCTTAAAAAGAAGAGAAGGTGTGCACAGAAATATTTTAAAGGGGCTTTGAGCATTAATGAATTAGAGTAAACTATTTAAGATAGTTTCAAGTGAGTTATTAGGTTAAATGGTTGAGGAATAAGGGAAGGAAGTGGCGATAGGGTTAAATCCTTCTAATAGCAAGAGTTTTTTAAAAAGGAAAAAATCAACACGTCATCCATCCAGAAGATCCCATAACTGGTCATGTTTCTTATTATTTTATATATAGAGAGAGAGGTGTCGACATTTATTTTCGTCCGATTTTACTATATAATATTTATACGTTAATTCATGTCATATAATTAATGTATAGTGTATATGCATTACATTATATAATATATACATATTATGTTGTATATTATAATTATATAGCATAAATATATATATTATATCAATATATTATTACATATTATATATTCATTATTGTTATTTTATTTTCAGGTCCAACAACTACAGGCCCAAACTCAAAGCCATTACAAATGGTGATCCGGAACCCTTGCAGACCCGGGTCTTGGAGCAACCCGAACCGATCCACTAAAGCCCGACCCGAGACCCGGTTCAGACCCGAACCGACCTAACCCGAAGCATCTAGGGTTTTTCAAACCCTAGCCCGCCTCCTCAATGTCGCATAGTCTGCTCACACCCATTCCAGCCGCTTCCAACAACACCTCCGAGTTTCCCGACGACGTGATGTTGTAGGACTCCAAAGCCAACCACCAAACAACAAACAATGCAAGAGTTTTAGTCCTATTAGGAGTCTAAAACCGAACCAAAAATAGGTTTTAGCCCTATAAATGCATGTAAAACTCACACGAAAATCCCACAGAAAAATACTTAGAAATACGCAAGTAATACGAGAGAAAATAATTGAAATCGGAGCACTTGTAACATCTCGAAAGGAAATAAAAGCGTAAAGTTCTTACCTTTCTTGGTTTCTTCAAACTTGCATGTGTTTTGTTTGCATGATTTCCCCTTATTTTTTACTCAAAAAAAAGATCGGCCGATGATCGGAGAGGAGGGCATTCGAGAGCTTTCTCTCATATCTAGCCCTCCTCGAGGCCGTTTTGTAAAAATAAATTAGATTTTTGAAAAGACGGTTTAAAATGCTTTCAGAAAAAAAAATTTGCCGTCGATAAATGGCGGCCGGCGAGGCGGCGGTGGCTGAAATCTGGGTTCTCTATGAACCCAGCGGTCGTGTTCTTCAAAAATAAAGAACATTTGAGAGAATTAAAGGGGGCTTTTGATCGAGAGAAGAGAATGAAAAAATAATTTTTGTTTCTGGAAATTGGGTTTTATATGTAACCCGTTGACCCGATTTTGACCCGCATGTTGACCCGATCCAACCCCAAGATCCGCGTGTTTTTAATTAAAAAAGGTGAATTACAGTTTCGGCCCCCATGGTTTTAAAATGTTCATTTTGAACTCCGGATTCGATTTTAATCCCGATTTGCTTTTAAATTTGACCCTTTATTTTATTTTTCTTTTAACTTTGTCTTTTTTATATATACATATTTTTTTTTCTTTTTTTCATTTCAATTAATTTCTTTTTTCTTTGTTTATTTTATTTAATCTAATTTATTTATTTATTTATTTTTATTTATTTTTATTTTTTCTCCTTTGTGTTTATGTTTTTATTATTATTATTATAATATTTTTTTACTTAACATTTATATATTTTAATTTTAATTTTAATTTCTATTTTAATTTTTTTTTCCTTTTCTTTATTTCTTTTATTTTTTTTATTTGACTTGTTTATTTAATTTAGTTATTTTTTTTTGTTTTCTTACCTTTTTTATGCATTTTTTATTTACTTCTTTTTCATTTTATTTTATTTTTTTATTTTATCTTTTTATTGTTTTTCCCCTCTTTTCAACTTGGCTATATTTTTTGGTATCTTTTCTTATTTTTGTTATCTTAATTTTTTATGTGTTTATTTGTTTTTTTCCTTATATTTAAAGTATCATAATTTAATGTACATTTTGTCCTTTGATTTGTTAAGTGTTTTTACTTTATCAACCTAACATCTTTTTTTTCCTTAAGGGTATTCTTTCAAATCCATCGAAGGTAAATAATTTGGATCAAACTTTACCTTTTAATTTAATTTACAATTTTCTCAATTAAGACAATTGGAAATTAATTAGTACCGAAATGGCAGTTCAAGGGTGCTAACCCTTCCTTGACTATAACCGACTCCCGAATCTGACATATTTCTAGTAAGACGCAGATCAGGTAAGATGGTGCCTGATCAACCTAAATAATGTATTTTAAATGATTGGTGGCAGTTCTAACTTTTTTCAAGTTGAAGCCCAATTCCGAGACTACCCGAAAGACGGTTGCGACAACTTGACGACTCTGCTAGGGACAGGTAAGTGAGTCAGGCTAAGGTTAATTTCCAGTTGTCTTTTTTAAGCGAAAAAGGTAAGTTTAAATTTTAAGGTAACTTTTTTGATCCTTATTACTTACTTTTGATTATCTTTTCAAATAAATAGTTGTACTGACGATTTCTTTCAATGGTTTCAGCCTATTAAGTTTTTTCATCTAAGGCTCTATACTTGAGCTCTGAACCCTTTTAAGTGGGGGTGAAAGCGACACCTTTGTGAGAATTTATTCTCTGCATAGGCCTAGCAAGTAGCCTTCGGGATTCACATACCTTATGTCCTCGTGTGAATTTATTTACAGCATAAACATAAGGGAATATATCCTCTCAAGTTTAACTTAGTCCACACAAGCTTGTAATGGTCTTATGACTAAGGGTCTGGCAAGCCCAAAGGGGCACCGGCAAGGAGAACTTGGGTACCTTCTTTAGAACCTAAACCGAGAGACTACAGGGAATTAGAGCCTACCCCAAAACCTCATTTCAAAACCTAGGATGTTTTTACTCATGCGGTTTGCCACTTTTATTTTTTCTTTTATCATTTATATTTTTATCTTACTAACGTTTTTCTTTCATGTTTGTCTTTTTAGCATTTGCATCATAAAAAGAGGTCGTTGATCCATAAAAAGTGTTAGTT